ACTTCAAATTCTAACCATATAACTGTCCAATTTTTAAAAATATTTAATTAGTATTGTTCCAAAAATTCTTTTTGACTTTTCATAGTGTTTCCTGGTTAAGACTTGATTTTATATTCTACACAAATATGTAGACGTAGAAATGGTAATTTGATAAGAACTTCTAAATTAGCCCAGATGACAGCCAAACCTCAAACTCTGAATGCCTATCCACATACTGAGATGACAAAAGGTTAAAAATAAGAACATTCTTTTTTTAAAGATTTTATTTATTTATTTTTAGAGAGGGAAGGGGGGGAGAAAGAGAGAGAAACATCAATGTGCGGTTGCTGGGGGTCGTGGCCTGCAACCCAGGCATGTGCCCTGACTGGGAATCAAACCTGTGATGCTTTGGTTCACAGCCCACGCTCAATCCACCGAGCTACACCAGCCAGGGAAGAACAAGAACATTCTTAAATCTGCTATGGAAGGAAGAAAACCTGTTTCAGTCACATTTTGATTTTCAACGTTCATGTTAGACTCATCTAACGTAATTTGCTTATCAAGTTATTATGTGTTCACATTCAAGTGGGAGTTAAGAAAGGAATCACTATAAGTTATATTAGAGGACAATTATCAGAAGTTATTTTTTAAATAATTCATATCATTTTTATGAGGTCTTAAAAAAGTTCATCCATTGTTAATATAATGGAATGGTTTGTGTGATATTGCTGTAACCTGGTAGCCAAGGAGAATGGACTGGAGTGCACATGTGTGAACAATGATGACTTCATTGTACTAGTTAGTGGGGGCAGTAGATACTGTTGAGTGAGCATGTATACTGTGTGACTGTCACATTCAAAATGAGTGAGCAAGTAGAGCAACAAATCCGCATCAAGTTTTGCACTAAAATTGAACAGTCCTCCAAATAAATTATTCAGATGATTCAGAAGGCAGCAGCTATGGGCAACTGGCAATTGGCAGCTTCATCAGAACAATATGCCTACTCATGCATCACACATACCTCATGCAGTTTTTTGGCAAAACATCAAATCACCCAGGTGACTCAGCTCCCCTCAGCCCAGATTTGACAACCGGTAACTTCTGGTTTTCCCAAAACTAAAATCACTTTTGAAAAGGAAGAAATTTCAGACCATTGATGAGATTCAGGAATATATGACAGGGCAGTTGATATGATAGACAATTGGGAGAACTATGTGAGGTCCCACATTGCCTACTTTGAAGGGAGCTGAGGTATCATTGTCCTATCTACATTTCTTGTTATCTTGTATCTTCTTCAATAAATGTCTCTATAGTTCATATTCCATGTCTGGATACCTTCTGGACAAACTTCATATATTAAAATACATTACAAAAAGAACGTTAATTAGCTCAAATATAACAACTCAGCTTGGCTTTGGCACACTTCAATCTCTCATTTTTTCATTGCTCTGAAAGTCTAGAATTAACAAGTTTTTAAAAATTTACAAAGAATAATTTTACCTCAATCTGTTTTTAATTTAGTTTTCCTATATCAAAATAAAACTGTGTTAAATACATGTAAGTGGAAAATGTTTTTAGAAGATTTTTCTTATCACTTTCAGTATTTGAATATTTGCCATCTCTCAATAAAAGGGTATGACAGTTATAATAAATATTGGCATTAAAACAACAGGAAAAAAGAAGGGATGACAATATTGTTTAACCCAACACTAAGAGATAGATACTATAATTAACTTACTAATATAATTGACTAGGTAGTTCTTTGGGTATATGATATGCCCTAATTACATAAATATTAAGAGAACTTTTATGAAATGAAAGTGTTTTTTATTTATATTTTTTGTATTAAAGAGGAATGTAGAGGAAAGATAAGACTTGAATGATGTTCCAGTTGAGCCACTTATCAACCAATACCATCATGAGACCCGATTCATTTAACCCTTTCTTTCCTAAAGTCCAGGTTTACTTTATACCATTCTTCGTTATCCATGAAACCTAACATGCTGAAGTTAAATTCATTGACTTGTGTGCTCAGCTCTTTCTCAGCTTGTTCTTGTCCCAATCTGAATGCATTCACAGACACAGATTCACACACACACGCACACTGAAATGCACACTTATATGCAAATCCTCACAAGAATACTTTAAAATTTTTCCTGATACTTGAAGCTCCAGAAAGCATTTGCTTCATATTTTATCCACTGCCCACAGGGAGCTCCTAGTTAGAAATAATTCTGTGCTTACTACATTTGAAAATATATACATCAATATAGAATAATGATATATATGTACATGTACTTTTTCATCATGCAGTAAGAGGAATATTTTAAATTCATATGTGACTGTCTTAGTTCCTTATGTAAGCACTTCAATTTTGACTCATGCATCTTAGGATAAAGTGGAGTTTAACACAATTACACAGATACTGCCTCCTGTGTCTCATCTTGAACCACAGTCTCTCCCTCACTCATTCTCCCTCATTCATTCAGATATTCATTCCTAGCATTACCACGACAATGGCCCTCTTTCTTTTCCTGGGACATATTATACTAAGGGTTTTAAGAAATGCTTTACTGTTTTGAATGCTTTGTTTTCTGCCAGAATTTGAACTTAATTTTCTTTTCATTAAGAAAATATTTCGTGATCAAACTGCTTTCTCTCATCCAAGTTTTTCTACTAAGGCATTCTTGTATTTACTTCCATTTTACACTAAGGATAACAATGACAATCAAAAATTTCAATTATTTGTTTAGTGTCTCTGTCACCAGCTTCATTAGAAGTGAAACCATAACTGTATTGTTCATTTCTATTCTCCCAGGGCCAAAATGTTGACAGGCTTATTCATATTAGGAATTCAATAAATACTTAATAATATATACCAAATGTGTTTTTTAAGTCTACTGAACATCCACTGATGCTCAATGAATATTTTTAAATAAATGTGTAAATAATAAGGAATCATAATTTAAAAGGTGGCTCAATCATTAAACCATATTATGGCACTGAAAAAATTATAAAACAAAATACTTAAAAACAAATAAAATGATAATCTCATTCGTGATATAAAAGCCTTTTGTGTGATGCAGATAACTTAAGCCAATAAATTGCAGATAAAACAAAGGTCCCTAATGATTCCCATTTGAGAAGTTTGCCAACTACAAACTCACAATAAAAATATATAAGCAATAGACTAAACATAAATTAAATCAAAAGAAACAAACAATGGCAATTAATAGAGACCTGATAATTTTAGATACTGTAATGTTCTATCTCAAAACCAGGATATAAAATAAAGAAAAATTAAAAAATATATATATGGAATACAAAAATAAATAACGGCCAAATGACTACTAAAAAGGGCCAGGAATATTTGGAGGGGAAAACAGAATTTTTAGAAATAAAAATTTTAACTATTTTCATTCAAAAAACTTCACTTACAAAACTGGCTAGATAAATAAGATCAATAGACAAACAAAGAGAATTAGTAAACTAGGTGATAATCTGAAGAAATTTCTTAATGTAATAAAAGAGATTCATTTTTTAATATGTAAGAAAAAGCTTAACAGACATGGAGGGCAGAAAGAGAAGATCTAATAGAGAGGGTGGGGCAAAAGTAGGTTACATTTATAAGTATCCAAAACAAAGTTGATTCTTATATTGTTTTTATTATGTATTGTACTATTTTCCACATAAACAACTGTAAACTTACTTTTGCTTCACACTGTGTTTAAGGCAATAGAAGTCCAAAGAGGAGAAGATAGGAAAAACAGAAAAATGGCAATATTTGAAAATATAGTGACTTAATATTTTCTGTGATTGTTTGCAATGCAAATATTTGGAAACCAACACTGAATAACTAGAAAGGTATATAAAAATGTATCCCCTGTGCACATTTCAGTGAATTTGTAAAACATCAAATATACAGAGAATATCTTTAAAAAGCAAGAATTTAAAGATAGATTACTTGCATAGGAAAAACTGATCTCAGTATATTCTTTAATTGAAAACACAAAAACCCAAGGAAGTGGCTTTTATATTTTGAGCATGAGAGATAATAAATCCTCAAACAGGCATGTTACATTCAGCTAAATTATAATTCAAGAAAATGTTGAGAGAAGGATAGTTTCACATTAATCACAACAGACCTTTGGTAAAACATATAAATAGGGAGAGTACACATGAAGCACAAAAAATGACAGTGGGGAAAAGAGAATCTAGAAATATTTTTAAGTAGTTAACATTCTCTCATAACATGTATTTAATAAAATTTTGTCTCAATAGTATAAAGCTAGTATTGAAAATTATCTAAACATTTAGAATGTTGCAAACATATTTTAAATGATATATTTATATATAAATGTGTATATGTACACATATATATCATATTTTCTTTGTTTATTGTTAGTCTCTTATCTTATACAAGTGACATGTGAATACATAGCTTAACCAATTTCTTAATCATTTTATTCTCAGCACCTATGTTGTAGGAATTGTGTACGAGATTGAAAAGTTCCACCCAGGAATTGGTATTGTCATGTGAGTTAGCTTTTTTGTAGGAAAACATACATTTATGTATGATAGAAAGCTTATCCCAAATGTTCTACTTTTCTTAGCTGTAACTATGTTTGCCAACAAGCTCTGTTTGCCCTGACAATAGAACATTGGGAAAAGGAATAGCACTTACAGATCTCAGCAATTCTTTCTAAGCAATTGCTGATGCCACTCAAAGGGAGCCAGGAGTTCAAGACTTAATGCTCTAATAATGCCAGACATCCCAGAGTGAGTCATTTTCAGTGATACCGCATCATCAGTAAAGTGAATCCAGATATCCTATACATTATGGTGAATGGTTCCAAATCTCATCTCCCTACAGCGCTCCCAGTGAAATGAAGCTGAATAAAACAAATCCTGATTTTTCACATTTACTGTTATTAAAAAAAGGAACAAAGCAGTGCCAAGGGGAATGAAAGAATAAAGCTATGGCTATTCAGTTGTAAAGAAAGTAAATTAATAAAACTAACCTCATTTTGTGCACATGCTTTCAGCAGATTCCCCAGGAGAACAATTCCCCTTTCAGAATAGAATAAGGATGGGGGATGGACTACACAACCTCATAACTGGGTATTATTTTTAGCAATACTTGTGCTTGATAAATCACAAGAAACTAATATGTCACCCTGTTTGCCACATGATGCTTGATATCTTCTCCCATGGCCCATTCTTTTTTTTAACAATGTTAACTAGCAACACTGATATATATTATGACCTTACTAAATACACCATATAAAATATTATTGAGAAAAGAACAAAACAATATGTGAATATATAATTATTTAAATATTGAAAACATACAGGGTACTCTGGACATGTGTGAAATACTTAGTCCATTTTTTATTCTTGTTTGGCAAAAAGCAATACAGTATGCTATAAAAGCCTTTTTCCATTATGACAAATTGAACAACCTCCAGATTGTTTATCTGCCACGAGGAGGATTTTTCATTTCAATGGCAAGCTGAATGATGAATGTGCAGATATTTTCCAACCTGTCTGGCTTACTGTCTCTTTGCTTTAGTGAATTCCATCTAAGAATTTGTCCAGCATCATTTAATAGTATATAATATAAAAACACATTTTGAGAGGGAGACAGAGAGATGGACTATTTTGTTTTTAAGAAAAGTGAAGGCAAGTACTACAAAATATATTTTTTTGTCAGAATTCTAATCTACCAATAATTTAGAGCAAGTCCTTATTGCTAATTCTATCAAGACTTCTGATCCCAATTAAAAAACTTCACCAAAACTAAAGGAGTGAAAAGAACATAAACAAAATCTAACTGAACTGATCATAGTAAACAGTTTTCTTATGGAAAAAAATGTAAATTTGATTTATTTGCTTAGGTTCATAATCTATTGTTTGATCATAAGTTTGTGCAACAATTTTGTCAGTATATATATAAAGCAGTTAATGAATGCAATATATAGTACAGCATATATATAATACAGTTAATACAGTTAATATCCCTTTTACTTAAAAGAGAAAAACATTCTAAATGAAGTCAGATAAAAATAAAAGCTTCTGCACAGCTAAAGAAAACAGCATTAAAATGAAAAAAGAACCAACTCCCATATGGGAAAACATCTTTGCCAATGATACCTCGGACAAGGGTTTAATCTCATATATATATATATATATATATATATATATATATATATATATATATATATATATAAAACTCACATGACTCCACTCTAAGAAGACAAGAATCCAATTAGAAAATTGGCAAAGGACTTGAACAGACACTTCTCCAAGGAGGACATACAGAGGGTCCACAGACATATTAAAGGATGTTCAGTATTGCTAGCCATCAGAGAGATGCAAATTAAAACCACAGTGAGATACCACTTCACACTGGTCAGAATAGCCACCATAAACAAAGCAACAAACAACAAATATTGGAGGAGGTGTGGAGAAAAGGGAACCCTAGTGCCCTGTTGATGAGATTGCAGACTTGTGCAACGACTATGGAAAACAGCATGGAATTTCCTCAGAAAACTAAAAATGGAACTGCCTTTTGACCTGGCAATTCCACTGCTAGGATTATACCCTAAGAACCCTGAAACACCAATCCAAAGAACCTATGCATCCCAATGTTCATAGCAGCACAATTGACAATAGCCAGGTGCTGGAAGCAACCTAAGTGCCTATCAGTAAATGAATGGATCAAAAAACTCTAGTACATTTACACAATGAAATTCTATGCAGCAGAAAGAAAGAAGGAGCCCCTACCCTTTGCAACAGCATGGATGGAACTGGAGAGCATTATGCTAAGTGAAATAAAGCAGGCGATGAAAGACAAACACCATATGATCTCACCATTAACCAGAACCTAGTCAACAAAACGAACAAGCAAGCAAAATATAGCCAAAGACATTAAAATGAGAACAGGCTGACAATGACCAGAAGAGAAAGGGGAGAGGATAATAGGGTAAAGGGTAAGGGGCTTACAGTAACAATTATTGGGGACATATGGACAACAACAAGGGGGGGGGGTGGAAATGGGGGAGGAAAAAGGCAGAAAACTGTATTTGAACAACAATAAAAAATGAATTAAAAAAAGAAGAACAATATTTCACTTAAAAAGTAAATTAGAAAATTCCACAGAACTGTCAATAAAAGATGTAGATTCTAGTCTTGGTCCAGTGGTTCAGTTGGTTGGAGCTTGGTTCTACACACCAAAAGATGGCAGGTTCAATTCAAAGCAGAGCACATAGCTGGGTTGGGGGGTTTGATCCTCATTCAGGATACATACAGGAGGTAACCAATCCATGTTTTGTTCTCACATGGATGCTTCTCTCTCTTTCTACCTCCCTCCCTCCCCCTCTCCATTTCTCATCTCTTTAAAATCAATGAAAGCATATCCTTGAAAAAAGATGTGGATTCTAGATTAGTAAAACAAAAGAATCCAACTGTTTAGCTATCAGACTGGCATAGAGACTTTTCTGAAATTATGAAATTTTATGTTTTTTTATCCTGATCACTGTATAATTAAAGATAATTTTCCCATAGTCAAATACTGCATTCTAATGAAATCATTAACAAAGTTGGCAGGAAAAGTTGACTTACTGTACTAATACCACATCAGCTGATATTGTGTGGGGTGCAGCTTGTAATTTAAATTTTGAACAGGAAATGAAGTTGATTTTTAAGTTAAGTCTAGCAAAAATATCCAGAGCACTGCTGGGGAACCAATTGTTTAAAGAGGAATAAAAGCAAATAGGGTATTTGTAAAGTATATACACAAATTTTACTCATATATTTATTGAAAGAAAATATTTATTATGAAAAGTGAGCAGCATAAAAATGGTTAAGCATTAAAACAATAAAATTGTATAGTGCTTGATACACAGTTGGCTCTCACAGTTCTGCTAAATGAATAGATAATAAATTAAAAATGAATAATATGTATTTTTATTGGACAACACTGAATCAGATAAAGATAATAGTTGAGTACATAATTGTAATATATAATATATAAAATATAATAATATGGAGGTCACAGACCAAACAATGTTGGAATTAATTCTTTTAAAAATATTCAGGACTTCTGGTCAAGATCGCAGCATAGGTAAACCTGGCTTGTCTTCTCGCTTAACCATATCAAAATTATAACTATATTATAGAACAACCACTACTCAGAACTGTCAGCAGTCAAGCTAAATGGATGCCTGACAACTGTGGAATTAAAGAAATCATATCCATCCAGACTGGTAGGAGGAGCAGAAATTTTGAACAGGCTGTTCCCACATCCAAATGTGGTGGATAAAAATTTGGGAGGTATATAAAAGAACCAAGGAGTCCCAACCCCACACCAGGTCCCACTAGCTCAGGGTTCCAGTGCCAGGAAGGTAAGTTCCTACAACTTCTGCCTTCAAAAACCAGCAGGGATTGAGTTGGTAGAAGAAACTTTTGGAGTCCCAAGCAGTCCCACTTAAAGAACCTACACATAGACTTAGATTCACTCCATCTGAGCTCCAGCACTAGGGTAGCAGCTTGAAAGGCACCAATGGCATACAGGGAGGAACTGAAGTGTCTGGCATCAAGGTGAGAGCTGGATGACAGCTTTCTCCCAGACAGAAAGGTGGGCAGAGGCCATTGTCCCTTTTCTGAACCCTCCCCCAACAGAACCACAGAGCCTGAAGGCAGGGGCCATATCTGAGATTCCATCAACTTGGCTAACACTGTTTGTCCTACCCTGGAGATGCCCGAGGCTCTGTCTCAGTTTTGGGGATTACTGAGGTGGTCCAGGAAAAACAGTTATGGAGCTTTTCAAGATAATAGTAGTGGATATATATAGAAATGAAGGCTTGGAAGGAAATTTTTAGATAAAACTGAGAGTTAATCTGAGAGAGAGAAAAAAATAGTAATGAGTAACTTTTATTTTCTATGTATCCACTGATCATGATTGACCGTGTCATTTACTGAAATGGAGCCAAGTAGTGATATGAGAATCAAGTTATCCATTGGGGATATTAATTATAACTAATATTCAAAAAGAATTAAAGCATATAACTCTTTATAAGATTCTACAAAGTTAACTTCATAATTTACCAAGTAAGTGTTGATCATTTACTATGTGGTAGGTATAAATAACACACAACAAAGGTGCTTTAGTTTACTGGCTTTTTTTCCCTATGGTGTTCAACTTTCATTAGTGATTACTATGTCACTTACATGATATAATAGCCAATAATCAAAAAAATATATATATACTTAGTATGTCAATTACAGTCAAATGTTGACTTTGTTTCACATTAGGATATTTTCTCATTCTAAAGTCATTTCAAAGTACTTTGCTCTAGTCCTGTTTGGTTTTAAGATGTGCACTAATAATACAGTCTTGAAATAACTGCTTTGGTTCACAATGGGTCCTCCAAGATTTATGTTACACCTTTAGCTATAAATTCCTGACAACATCTATTTTTCTGGAAAGTTTTTATATTATTATTTTAGCCTCAATCCAGAGTTATTCTTTTTAATTTGAAAAAAGGTTATAAACTGGTAATATCCACTCATTCAGTTCTCAGGAGGCATAGCAATAATATAAATTGCTAGAAGAGTTTTTATCTTTGTTTATTCACCTTTTTTTTCTTTTTACTATTTAAAAAAAAAGGAATGAGGGAGCAGGAATTTTAAGAATGTCCTATGTAATCATTTTTACTTGTGTTGCTATCAAAAATCCCTCAAGGTGGATTATATTAACTGGTGCATTTGCTCTAACACATATACTTGTTCTTTCTTACTTTCTGCTTACAACAACTCTCCATACAGATACTTCAGAATGAGGCAATCACTAAAAAATATTCTGTACTTGTGACAAGGTAGGGCAAGTCTATATATTTAGAAATATTTACAGCAGTGCAGATAAATTTAGAAAATAATGTAGAGTATTCATCATTCATATACTGAAGACCATTAGTACCATATCAAGATAACAAAATGATTTTGGAGGGTGAAATATATTCTGCAAATAATGGGTTGACAAAGTTTATAGAGAGCAATTAATAAAATGTAATGTGA